AGACAGTTAAAAGATGAGCCTCCTTCTAGACTCTCATCAATGTGAAGTTCATCCTGGAAAACCTTTTTTTAATGAATGCAGCGTCTGCTTGAGAGTCGTTTTATAGCCACGACATAAGCCTTCCTTAATGTTTCATCTCCAATGACTCCGGTAAAGTGTGTACTGAAACAGTTTATTTTTGGTGTAGTGGCTTTTAACACTGTGACAACTTTCAAACAAACACTCCAGTTGATTTTCCTGCTTATTAAACCTTCAGTTACTTCACCTGATACTGGGGCTAAATGTATGGCATCTCAGTTATTCATTCAGTGGCCACACATGCATTTTAGGCTATAACGAATCAATTGTTGAGAAAAGTTTTAGCTTTATCTAAGTATAACTTAACAAGTCTACCTCAGCTAAAGGTAATCGCTGCTCACTGGTGCAGCTAAACTTTGTAAATAACTCTATTTATCTAATCTCTGAGTTCTCGTGTTGACCGTGTGATGCTGCCGTGGAAACCCTGAGGGTTTGTTTGATTTTCACCTCGGTGCCCCCCCCCCACTTCGTGGTCACAGGCTTTCTCCACCTGTGAGAGGGGGGGGATACACTAATAGACCGGAGCTGTATATTCTACGTGTCTGCTCTGTGTTCCCAGCTGGCTGCTCTGAAGAACATGTGTGTTTCTTGCCTGCTTATGTCCTCTTTTGAGGTTTGCTTGCGGTTAATTTTTCTCAAACTTCTCAGTCAAAGTGTACTTCTTTAATGTTGGTCAACACTGGGTCAAGGGAAGTGGGCGCAGCCAAGCAATTTTGACAGATCATGGAATATCTCCGAAAAATATTCGGAGGGGGGGGGGGGTTGTTTGCAGAACGTATTGCTCATTTTGACATAAACAGAGAGCTCTGCAAACAGGCTGTGCACATAAGTATGAGAATTAGTATTTTAATAGAAGGGGAACCCGAGACACAAGGTGCAAGAAAACAGTTAGTCTGCTGTGGTGTGAGCGTGAAAGTGTGTACACAACAACATATTGAGAGCATGCGTGTGCTCAGTGGACCGTGAGAGGACACCAGTGGGATTACTCTTCCTGATGTAATCACTACTTCCTGTTTGGCTGTTGAGGAAGAGAAACATTTGTTTCCCAGCACATTGACTGTACGTGACTCCGCTTACACTAATGCGTGTGTGTGTGAGTGTGTTTGGCTCAGTCATGTGAAATATGACAACTGATTATTTGACAGGGGTTGACTGCGTGTTCTGCAAATAAATGGGCCTGTGACTCTTGCTCCTCTGTGCTAGGGTTAGGGTTAGTTCAATGGGCTGATAGGATATCTTTATCATATGACCAAGTGACCCAAAACGATTGGTTTCCAGTGCAAGCATTACTCAACTGTTGCCAGTTGTTTTGAATAGGACCAGGCAAAAACTTAGCTTTTTCATATTAGGACCTCAAATTCAGTGATGGTTCTATTTCCTCAGTAATAATTAACATTACTAGAAGGAATCCACCATTTGGTCCAATGCTTCTATTAATGCCTTTTTTTTTTTTTTTTTTGTGGTTTAAATATACACCAAGCCAAGATGATATGTTGACAGGCTTCAATTAGCAACAGCAGTGGGTTTAAATTATAAGTTAAACAGGAATTTGTGTGAAATCTGTGAACTAGACACGGCACAATACTCTAAATAGCAAAGTGTTACAAAGAGACGAGAGTAACACAACTTGTACATATAGTTGAGTTGTTTTTGTAACTTAACTTATCAGCATCCCTTTGGCATACCAGCTCATTAGAAGGGGGTGATTTTGTATAAACAAACCTCATCTAGTGTAGTTTTAAAATGAGTGTTGACTCTCTCTCTAATCATTGGTATTCTATGGCCTCAGCATAACTAATTAGACTTTACTTACAGGCACTAGACACTGTATTCACTTTGTATGTGTAATGTAAATGCTCATATCAATACATATGTAATGGTGTGTTATTGATGTTTATACAGACTCTGCTCGGTGAGGGTATTTTTCTCTCTCTTGCTCTCACACACACACACTCACACACACCATCTTGAACACACTTGCGCGCACACAGCCCCGTCGCTGCTTTGATCCGTCCACCAGTAACACATTCCTGTGCTGTGGTGAGTAGGAGCAGCAGACAGATTGAGGTGGAGCACGGCATGAATCGAGTGTATTGTCCTGTCGAGGTGGTAAGGAGGAGACCCGAGCCCACGGGGACCCTCTCCTCACGGGCCCCAGAGGCCCTCCACAGGCTGCTGATAAGACCGACAGGACAGGAGGCCTCCGCATTTTATAAAAGGAAAATGTATATTGTGTTGAAAGCATGCTTGTCCTGTACCTGTCCTGCTCCTCGTGAGTTGTTTTCTCAACGTTCTTGCCAGCATTTCTCTCTCTCGCCCTCTGGCTGCCTCTCTTTATCTTTTTGTCTCTCTCTCTCCTTGTTTTCTCTCTTTGTTGTTTTGTCTTTCATTCTTCTTCCCTCCGTGTCTGTCGGGACATGTTGAGCCATTCCACCGGTCCGTTATCCGCTGTGATTGATTGCCCACAGTTATTGGGCCCTCTGTTATGTCACCTACCCTTTTGTCAATCACACTATCGTTTCATTTTTTCAAAGACCCCATGACCGCCTTTGTCTCCTGTATCCTTTTCTCTGCATCACCTTCTTTGATTCATCACCTCCTTCAGCCATCGCCTCTTTGTCTTCCTCACCTCTTGAGAAAGAATCCTTTAGGTTTTTATTGTTGCTGCCTGAGATTTATGTGGAAAAATAGGTCAACATACTCTCAGGAGGGCCTTTTTTACAGTGTTACGGTTCAAAGCCCTTTTAAAGACAATGGCACAGAGAAGAGGACGCAGTGCAAGTGTATACGAGTAACTAGTCTCTCCTGCTTTAGTTCCCACCTAGAAACCTCACCCGTCCACTAGTCTCCTTCCACAGAAACACCCCTCCACCTTCTTCTTCTCTGCCCCAATCAGCTTCTCTGGTCTTCATGGAATTTTAGAATTCAAATTCAGCCAAAAGTTTAAAGTATCCCTAAAGAATGGAATTTCATAATAAAATGGAAGATGTAGAAACTCTGTCTTGTCTTCTTCCCCAAAATCAAAAAATTCCCTCAAAGGGCTTAACTATCTGTATAGCAGACAACGCCTTCTATACGTTGACCCGTCATAGTTCCAAAAAAAATCCTGTCTCTAGTCGAGTCTTGTCTCTTCCACCACCATTTATCTCCTCCTCTCATCTCTTCACCTCTCTCACCCCTACCTCTGGCCTCTGTTTGCAGTACATTCTTGTTTTTATGCCCCTTCTCACCCAGCCAGCGGCTGTGCGAGCCCACACACACACACCCACACACCCACACACACACCCCCCCCAAACAAAGAAGCTGACGACTGTTGGGGCTGGTGATCATAACCTCCGACCTTTTGTTCAGTTCATGGTACTTTACACAGCGGCTAGTTGAATGACAGTGGCAGTTTAATGCTCACACACACACACACACACACACACACACACACACACACACACACAGTCTTTTGCACCTCCATCCGGGACTGTATTGTCCTGTAAATTATTTTATTTTCGACTCCCTCAGGTGTGCAATTCTGAGGGAGAATGACAACTTAATGAACAGATTATTTGGGAGGTTAGAGTACAGGAGGTTCACACGCGAAAGTAAGAAACTAAACACAACCTAAACTTGCAGAACATGGCAGGCCGACGTACACATTTATCTGAGGTGCAGGTTCTCTGACAGGATAACAGATAACACTCGTTCCCTCAGGTGTACAAGTCTATCGTTGATGCTGTTCTGTGTTCGACTGGAAGTTCATACAGCTGCTATACTTTGCTGAGGAATGTCATATTTGTCTGCAGTGATTTGATGTTCTCGTCTGGAGTTTAATAATCCACCACCATACATCCTGGGATTGTTGATTACTGAGTATTGATACTGATCTCACAGATATGATCATTCCTAGTCCAAATTGAAGACTTGCAATTGCTTATTTTGTCTGTAAAGTAAAAAAAAAAAAATAAATGAAAGATTCAGTTTCCTAAATGATGGGTTTGCTGAAAAGAATGAAATCCTCACACCTGAGCAGCTGTAATCACGACATGTTTTGAGTCATTACCTTACAAATTAGTCTGCGGTTCAAAAATGCCTTTGTTTAATTTAGTGTTTAATGATTAATCATCATTAATCATTTCCTGGGCACATGGAAATGGATTTTTCCACTTCATTTCATTTATCACTGATCTACTGTACACAACACCTGCAGAGGCTATGATTGTAAAACATTCATCTCAACATGTCATTTTGTCCTATTTCCTCTGATATGTCACAAGCTAAAATATATTGTAAAGATATAAATAAAGTTTTAATAATGAAATGGATTGTTTTACTCCTTATTCTTTTAAATGTGGGACAAAGTGGTAAAAATAATTTTCTAAGTCAAGTCCAAGGCGTTGTATGGAGCTAACTCTGATCCATTACAGTAGCCAGCCGACACACAATAAGGCCTTATTGGAGAGAATGGAGCAGGAGCAGCAGGGAGGGAGTCGAGCGGGAAGAGACTGTGAAATATTTGTCCATTTGGATTCGGAGACCAGGGGAACATTATAAATGGGCAAGGACTTGTGCACAGATGCAGATAGGTTTCCTCTACTGACACACACCTTTCTGACATTTTCTACAAATGATCCAGCGCCCCTCTTGCCTGCATTGTGTTGCTGTAGTTTTCTGGTGTTCCAGCCGCATCGATCATGAGGCTTTTAAGCCGTGACGCCTCCAGCCTCAGTAACCATTTACCAGCATGTCAGCGTGGGAGTGAATTAAGGCAGTGGGTTCCTGAAATAAACGAGTGAAAATGGACTTTGAGTGTTAACAATGTTCTGTGCTGTGGTCATAAGACTGGCTGTACCTTCCGTCGATGTGGACATTTTTTATTAACCACTTGTCTATCAACCAGCTTTCTAACAACCCCTCTTCTCTGTCCTCCACAGATGAGCATGATTCAGTACAGAAGAAAACATTCACCAAATGGATAAATGCACAGCTCTCCAAGGTAACGTGAAAGACTTTAACTGCACTACTTAAAAACAGATTAGAAAATGCAAATGTATTCAGAAAGAAGGCCATTAAGCTGAGTTATTGCTTTTAAAAGAGCTTCATCTGCCTGATATTAAAATAAAAAACTTTATAGAGGGACTGAAACGGTGGGACTATATCAAGGTTATTGCAGCAGGTTAGCTTTGCTGCTAGCAGGGTAGTCGGGTAGTAAACTGTTGAAATGTGAACCTTGCATTGTGTAAATGTTGTTGCTACTGTTCTATGATTTACTTTAATATTTCTCATTTGAATGTGGTAAAATGAAGCACAAATGTTCAGACCAATGAACTAAACATTTAGTTTTACTGCAAGTCTTAGTCCATTACTCTACCCAGCAACAGCTTCCTTCAGAGCGCTAATGGCGTTACGTGTGTGTGGCCCTGTTTTTCTATCTCATCATTCTCATAAGCACACCATTCACAGTTGTGTTAAATATGCTTAATAGATTTTATAAACTCTCCAGACCTGCCAAAATGGTCTTTGAAGCTCTAAAATGCTGTCATGCCGTGGTTACTCTCGTCTCTTTGTAATGCAATTTAATTTCCTATAAATTCTTCACAATAAAAGTCCCACGCTTCTACATTCCCTCCTGACTTACCTGTTAATAATATCTTGTTGCTCATGTTTCATGTTTATGACCTTCATTGGGTGGATGAACTACCCATTTTTAATGTTATGCCTCTGGGAATTTAAGTCCACTTTTGCCCCTCTCAATGCCAATCTGACAGTCATTTTAAATATCCTCCTTGAGTGGATTACATAGTTGATTCAAAGGGAAAATTCTCATCCTTGATGCCGACACATTGTAGACACAACCTTTACCAGTTCTGCTGTTTTCTCCTGTCAGACGGGGAAGCCGGCCATCAATGATATGTTCTCTGACCTGAGGGATGGGAGGAAGCTGCTGGACCTGCTGGAGAGTCTCACTGGCACTGTACTGGTGAGTTTGTGTACATTAAGGTTTGCATTGGTTTATCAATACTTTTTCAAAGGTTTTTGGGGGCATGGGCAGGGTTGTAACTGCTGCATCCACTCAAGTTAGTACAAGCAAAAGCTTCATCTTGACCTTAAATCGAATGCAAACATTAGAGCTACACAGCAGATGTAGTTTGGATGCTTGATAGAAACATTAAGAGCAGATATTTTGGTATATTGTAGTATTGTCTGCTTGTATGTTATTTTCAGTTTTTCCTCCACAAAGATTTTGCTCAACAGAAGATTAGCGGGTTAAATTAATACTTTCCCCTAACAAACACAAACACTATCTTCATTTTTCTCTATGGATGTATGTCTTCAGTGACCAACCAGGCGCTCATGAGCACACATTTTTGCTTTTTTTTTTTTTTTTATCAGTGTCACCTCGGTGTTACCCCTTCAACAGCATATCTGCTTTCTAGCACCTGCAGCCACACTTAAGTGCCAACTGTCTCCATGCCGTACATGCAGGCACATACATGTGCACACGCTATCTCTCTGGTACCACAATGCTAATTCTATAATGGGGTGCTAATGAGTGATCGAGTTATGCGGAGACTTAAAAAGGATTTTCAGCTGGCAGCTATTCACCCTGCCATTCTTTCCATACGTTGGCCTGTGGACACTGCTGATAGGGTAATGGCTGTGATTAACGTATGGAGAGAAGCACTCCGCTGAGTGATGGCATTCCTTTTCCTCGCTGTAGCAATGCCTCACATTTTTTCACGAGTGTGAATAAATAAATGAATAAATGTGTCATAGGCTCAATTTTCGAGGAACTGCTTTATGTATCTCTGATGATTTAACGACCGGCCAAAGATTCCTGCGGGCTAATGATAACACTGAAACATGCTGTCACCTGATCAGCGTGTGTTTCCTGTTCCTCAGACCAAAGAGAGAGGCTCAACCAGAGTGCACGCTCTCAACAACGTCAACAAAGTTCTTCAAGTCCTGCATCAAAATAATGTAAGTATCTGTTGTGTTCTGCTGGTTAGTTTGTGCTCTCAGCTGCTGTTGACGGATGATTTAAGCCAAACCACGTACAAGTGGTTCTTAACCAGGTCAACGAGTCTGCAGGGTTTTATTTTAGCACAGCACAGCCACAAATAAGGAACTATAGTGAACTGTAAACTTACATGCTGCTGTGTTGTTGAAGTGAAAATCCACAAATGCTTTAGCTATGGTACAGTTGACATTGTCTCACACTATCATATATGTGTACATTTCCATCCTGTATGAATGTGTCATTTTGTCTACACTGAGTTTTGTATTTTTCTTTCTGCATCGCCCCTTTGCTCCCTCATCCCTCCTACTCTCTGTGTACAATAGTATAATGAACCGTATGTGTGGCGCAGAACGAAAGAGTGACGGAGAGAGAAGGGACAGTGTGGCAGGATGGAGCTCATTGGGACGAGAGAAGGGTCAGAGGTCGGCTCTGCCATAGACAGAGAGGTCACTTTTTAGTTTAACCAGACACTTGACCTCATGTTCCACTCTGTGCCTTGATCCTCTCCAAAATATCTCTATATATAATTAGTCCACACATGGCCTCTCCTCGTAGGATTTGTGTCTGACAAGGCTGCAGACACACTTCATAGGAAGGGTGTAATTAGGGTTGTATAATCCACTGTGTGGGGGAAATGCATGGTTCAGAAGTGTTCAGCTGTACCGGTGTGGACACTCATTAAGATTCAAAGCAATAGTACATGTGCTCCACTTGATGAAGACATTCAGATGTTACTTTGTGTTTTACTGTAAGGGTTTGTGCTGTAACCAGCTTAATTTTGAAAAGATTTTATGATTACAGCAAACAAAAGATTTTCTCTGAGAAGATTTCATATTGTGTGCAACTGGGTTGGCTTTTCAACTAATCTGCTCAAAAAACAGCAATCTTTTCTACTTTACCACCAGGACCCAGCTATGTGCCATTGCTTGTATTATTAGTTATGTATTTTCAATGAGTGTGTCATTTCTCTCAGGTCGATCTGGTAAACATAGGAGGGACAGATATTGTGGATGGGAACCGCAAGCTGACTTTGGGCCTCATCTGGAGTATTATCCTCCACTGGCAGGTGAGCACACGTGTAGACACACACGGGCTGTTCCCTTCTTTCCACCCACATCCTGCACGTACACACACACACACACACACACACACACACACACACACACACACACACAAAGGCTCAATTATGTTTGCGCTGACGGTACACTCCCAATTCACTAATGATCCAGAGGGATTAAGAATACAGATGATGGAAAATCAGCATTGATGTGCACATGTGTGTGTAAGCATGTAAATATGCTTATCATTCACTGTGATCTTCTCAAACCATTACTTATAAATTTTGGAAGTCTATGCCGGTCGCATGATGCTCTCATCATGGTCCCCTGGTTAGTAAGGTGATCATTAGAATAATCATCACTTTCCATGGCAACAAAAAACAAAACATACGCAAGTTTTCGCTCCTGTTTCTTCACCCATATTAATATGTGTTTTTCCATGTTTGTGCAGGTGAAAGATATCATGAAGGATATCATGTCCAACCTGCAGCAGACCAACAGTGAGAAGATCCTGCTGAGTTGGGTACGTCAGTGCACCCGCTCTTACCCAGAAGTCAATGTGCTGAACTTCACCACCAGCTGGGCTGACGGCCTGGCTCTCAACGGCATCCTTCATCACTTCAGGTGAGGAGAGATCATAGATTCTGGGCGTTGCTGGTGCGCAAAACGGGGTCAGAACACTTTTCTGCAGTGTTCTGATGAAACAGACAATATCCTCCGTCTTCATTCATGTCTTTGTTTTTCCGTACCTTTCTTGCGTGCCACGGTTTGACATTTGTTGCTGTTGGAAGAATCTTCCGCTTTGAGTTGTCTTTGCATATTTGACATATACCCTTTGACTCTGAATGTAAATCATCTGGAACCCGGACAAAGAGCTTCAAATATCTTCAAGAAACCAATTCCTGGAATTTCAGAATGGCCGATATGTAGAAAGCGCTCTCTCTCTGTGTGTGTGTGTGTGTGTGTGTGTGTGTGTGTGTGTGTGTGTGTGT